TCAAAGCATCCTGCACGATATGAGCTTCATGCTCACCCGCATCCTTTTTTGGACTCTTGCAGACTGAAGACATATGGCCCTCCTGGCCACAGTTCCAACGCTTTCCTTTGATAGGCCTGACCTTCGAGTTCGACCTCTTCTTCACTGACTTCGACCGATTCCTATTTTGGTTCCCTTTCTTCTGAATTCTGCCTCTCTGCTAGAAGTTTAGAGCTGAACCTGAACCTTCTGATTCAGATGATTTTCTTCTAACCTCCTCGGATAGAATCATACTAACCACCTCACTCAGCTTTAACTTTTCCTTCCCCATCAAATTGCTGATTGCCGTCACACAACCTGCCCAACTATTCGGTAACTGTGATAGTAATAAAAGGGCCTGCACTTCGTCATCGAACGTGATGTCTACGGAGATACGCTGATCAACAATCACGTTGAACTCGCTGAGGTACGTCGTGAAGGACCGTCCTTCTGCCATCTTGAGGTTAAAAAGAGTTTTTACCAAATGCACCTTGTTTGCTGTAGATGGTTGCTCATACATTTTCACGAGCGCTTCCATAAGCCCTACCGTCGTCTTCTCCTTCAAAATATTGTGGGCTACTATCTTAACGAGTGACAACCAGATTTACCCTAAAACCTTCCTATCCAGTATCTCCCAATCGTCGTCTGACTCCTCTTTCTTGTGTCCCTTATCCTTACCCATCAACGGATGATACAAGTCCTTCTGGTACAGATAGTCCTCCATCTGCGACTTCTAGTAGGTAAAGTCTGAACCGTCAAACTTTTCGATCTTAGATTTGATTTCCTCTGCCATGGCTTTCTCACAAATTGTTGAACGAAGCTTTCATACCAGTTGTTAGGGATTCAAAACAATCAAATCAAACCCTTACCCTTCCGGACCTTGTTAGAAAGTTAAGCAAGAAGGAAATTCACTACAAATCAAAGATAAAAAACTTACAGAAATAAGAACAAGAGAGAACACATGAATTTAACGAGGTTCGGAAACATGCCTACGTCCTCGGGAGCCACACCACACAATCTCTTTGATTAATTGAAAAAGGAATACAAACACTCAAGCAAGGGTTTAATCTCTCTGAGATTCTCTTTCTTTTTCTTCTCTTTTTGATGGTTTCTAATAGTCTATTAACCCTAAAAAACATTTGGGTATTTATATCAATTTGAATCAAAACAGAATCATAAACAGTTTAGGAAACTGTCAGAACGACTCGCGAACCAGTCACGGTCGACCGGATAAATGACAGAAACCCAGACTATGCCTACAGGGTCTTCGCGATCGACCGGACCTTCTACCGCGATTGACCGAAAAAAGTCCAGAGACTTACTTAACTCCAAGTTCCAGGCGCGGTCGACCGCACCAACCATCGTGGTCGATCGAAAAAAGTCCAGAGACTTTTTCCTATCTCGTGCACGTTCGCGGTCGACCGCCGAGACCACCGTGGTCGACCGCACTGTAGTTTTTCTATTTTCTTCATTCTGCTTCATCTTCTTGATTCTAGCTTCGGCTTCAGCTTTGGGTCTACACTTAGACTAATACTATCTTCTTCTTCTCCATCTCTCATAAAAAACGATGAGGCTACCGATTATCAATGAGATCTGGTGAGCATAATGCTTTTGGCTAAAAATGAGAATGCCTAATTCGAGAACTTGTAATAAGATTATAGTTTGAAAGGTTGAAAAATACCATTGATGTCATGATGGGGAAAAAATAAATAAAATTTAAAAAGAAATTGGTGAGTTTGTAAGTTTTTTTTAAAGTAAATGAATGTTTTTACTGATTTATTTCTAGTCTATAATGTTCTTTTTCAAGATATACTTGTAATTAGATTTTTTTTTGGGCAACACTATGTGTAATTTGATTATGAATTCGAAGAAAAGTTGCTATTTTTTATGGTGTTTGCAAAATTTGTCTTATTTCTTGATTTAAGAAACCAACTGAACTTGTGAATGTTGGTGACAATTATGTACAACAAAACTTCTTGTTAGGAGAAGCTAATTAGGGGACGAACATCAATGTTTTCTTTAAGATGTTTCAATGAAGTAGAAGATGGAGGAAGTAATTGATCTGTCGAGCTAATGGGCCAATCAACTGCATAATGATATTAACATCAAGTTTGAGGGAAAAAAAATCATAATAGCATTATAATGATCTACAAATATCCTTAAGACATCCACGCTTAGCTACAGTAATGCTCGTCAGAGTTTATTATCATCAGTGATAGCCCCATCATGGATTGTTTTTAAGCTAGAGAAAGAGAAGAAGATGATGAAAGGAGGATGGTTCAAAAGGGCTGAAAGGAAAAAAAAAGACAGATGAGGTGTAAAGTGCTTGTAGGGGAGGGGGTCAATGAGCATCTATTTGGCTCACTTGTTTTTTTATTCGGGTGGACGCACAAATTTTCAGATCCAAGAGGTCCCTAACTATTTATCGTACGTAATTTTTATCCATCATTATGTTTGAAAGAAGGTAAGAATTTGGTCAATCTTTGGTGTTCTACCCCTATGAATATCACAGTTTCAAAAGATCCCACAGAATGTCTTCATAACTTTGCAATGCTTTAAATCTCTTGAGAAGGGCAAATGTGGAAAATAGATAACTTCAAATCATTACCCACTATCTCAACAAGGCAATCACGGCACCCATAAAAACTCTCCTCAAATTTTCTCTAAGTTGATATATCAATGACACTTCTCCCTCCGCTTCCTCAGCCTCCACTCCTCTTTCCCATTCAACAAAACCATCAACACCAATGAGAAAGAATTTATCATGATAACATTAACGTTTTTTTCAAGAAATCAATTAACTAAAGTATAACTTATGTTACTTCATGAAATTATTTAGCTTACTTTATTAGTTTTATTTCATAAAATAAGTCAACATACTCTCTTTCAAACTTTATACAGACGTCAACTATTAAGACACTAATAATATATTTTCTGGTATGCACAACAATGTTTTATGTATGCAAGTATTGTGTGCACTAGTGAAACTAGTCTTAATCTTTTTAAACATAAGACACCCATACACGAGATAAATGCTTACTTAATGGCATGCAACCCATTAAAACTAGGTCAAGTCCAAACCTGGTCCAACTTTTGTGTTGATTTGTGTTTGATAAAAATTGGGCTAGAACTTATCCAATTTTTTTAGATCTTTTGTGACCCTCTAACTATTCTAGAATTGGTCCAAACCCTACCCAGGAGCAATCTAGTTATGTTTAAGAAATAAGCAAGAGCTTACCTTACTCTTATCAAATAGTTTTATATTTCCTATAGACCACCTTAACAATAGAATAATTACATGAAAACTATCTTTTAATTTTGATTTATTTATAAACAATCTTTAAAGCATGTTTTTGTTGCAATCAACCACCTTCAATCAAGATTTTCACTAGAAACTCAAAATCACCTTAAAAAACTCACATTCAAGATATACGACTCATTGTTTGGTGTTTAAGTCTTGTTAGGATACAAATCGCGTATATTGATTTTAAGTCTTGTTAGGATTCAAATCACATATATTGATCTTAAAATTTGAAGATTATTTTTAATTTTTAGTAAAAATTTGACTAAAAAATGGCTATATACAGTAAAATCATACTTTAAAGATAATTTATGTATAAATTAAAATTGAAAGATAGCATTCCATACGACTATTCTATATTTTTAAGGTGGTTTATTGGGAAAACGTCTTTATCAAATTGCCAAACAAACCTAACGTTCGCTGATAAATAAAGCTCAACATACAAAATCTCAACACTAGAAGAGGACAAATTTTCAAAAGAGACCTATTTAGACTTTTATTTGCAAAAAATAACATGTTTTGAACTTATTTTAAAAAACCGACCTGGTTTCAGCCTTGTCGCTGAAACCAGGTCGGTTTCTGAAAATTTTTTACGAAACTTCACGGGAGTTGAACTCCCGTGAAGTTTTATTACCCATTTCATGATCCTCAGAATAACCCACTCTCCGTTTCCAACCCAATTCCTGCCCCAAGTCATTTATTAAAAAAAAACCATCTCAAATTTTCCCTAAATTTGGCCATGGATCTTCTCCCTGTTCCTTCATCACCTTCCTCTTCCCTGTCCTCTGTTATCACCTCAAATTCCAATGAAAGAAGAGTTCACAAGCCTTTGATACAACCGAAGTTTATGAAGAAAATCCTTCTGTAAAAAAGGCTTTGATGGTTTGTAGAGTGATTGCTGGAAGAGTTCACAAGCCTCTGGATAACTTTCAAGAATTCACCGGCTAATCTGGGTTCGATTCGTTAGCAGGCAAAGTTGGTTTATATTCCAACATTGAGGAACTCTACTTGCTTAATCCTAAGGCTCCAGCGGTTCAACGCGCGGACCTTCAGGAGATCGATCGTCTTCTCGAGCTACGAGGTCCCCGTGGCTAGATCTAGGGCAGACGAGTGCGATGCCTCGTGACGGTTTTGGAACCGGAGGGAGAAGTCTTGAGGAGGTACAGGGACTTCAGGCGGTTCAGATTCGCGCCGGGGGACGATTCTGGTGGTCGGGTCGGAGTCGGATTTCAAGAGGGGGGAAGTACTTGTACTATAACAAGGGTGAGGATTGCTACAAGGGGATGAATCAGTATCTTTGGAGCTTTTTGTGTGAGCTTGGAAAGGCCAAGTTCTTGAACAGGTCGTTTGTTACGGATCTGAGTGTTTGCACTAATATAACTTCACGGGAGTTGAACTCCCGTGAAGATTTACGAAGAAATTAAACTTCACGAGAGTTCAACTCCCGTGAAGTTTAAAATACACTAAACTTCACGGGAGTTGAACTCCAGTGAAGTTTCGGAAATTTTTTTACAGAAACCGATCTGGTTTTAGCGCATGGGCTGAAACCAGGTCGGTTTTTACAAATATTTTGAAAACAGGTCGTTTTTTGTAATAAAATGTTCAAACGAGTTGGTTTTGAAAATTTGCACCACTAGAAGAAGAAAAAGGGTTTCTTAAAAAATAAATAAATAAATAAAAGGCTGAAAAATGGCGGAAAAGGAAGTCTCTTAAATCTCCAGTCTTTCTTCCCACTCTGAACCCTAACCCTAGCAACGATGGATGCGATCCGGAAGCAGCTGGACTCTCTCATGGGCGCCAATCGCAACGGCGACGTCACCGAGGTCGATCGCAAATACTACGACCGCGATGTCTGCAAGCTCTACTTGTCCGGTCTCTGCCCTCACGATCTCTTCCAGCTCACGGTACACCACCAAATCTCAAAACCCTAGAAATTTGTTTCCTTTGTCTTGGACCTCTAGCCCTAACCCTAACCCTAGCCCAGTCGCTGAATTCTCTGCTGATTTCGTGTAATACTTCGATAGTTATTCCTCGTTTTTGGCCTTTTTAATTGTTTGAAGTTATGAGTTTGTCAAATGTATGCCATCTCACGGTACAGCCACAATCTCAAAACCCTAGAAAAATATTTGCTATATTTTGACCCCTAGCCCTAACCCTAAGTCAGTTGCTGAACTTTCTGCTTATTAGTGTAAAATGTGAGTGAGATATTATGCCTTTTTTGGCGTTTTATGTGTTTGAAGTTAAGTCTGATTTTCCTGAATGGGAAAGTTATGTGAATGTGATTTTTCTAAACATTAGTTACGAGAGAAATTAAATTCGTTAGAAATATAATCTCAGCACCCTATAAATTTATTTGCTTACTCCTGATCCTTAGGCCTAACCCTAGCTCAGTTGCTGAATTCTCTGTGGATTAGTGCAAATTACCATCAGATAATCTGTTTTCTGGGATTTTAATTTGTTTGAAGTTATGAAGTTCTATCTTTAACTAAGTTTGATTTTACATAGGGAGAGTTACGTGGATACTCGTTTAGGAAGCAACAGGGGATTTTTCTGTATAGTATTTGTGAGATAAATCAAATTCTGTAGAAAATTGAATGTTCAACTAACATTTTTGGCAAGTAAGTCAGTTAATGAGATAAAAATAAGGGTTTATTGCACTTTAATATCCTAAAGTTGCACTCATCTTTAACTTTGATGCACTGAAGTTTAAAATTTGCCAAAATGATAGCTCAAGAGTTTTTAAACTGCACCTAATCTTGTTAAGTTGACAAAAAAAGGGGGGGGGGGAGTTTACAGTAAACCCCATTTTTTTAGTTCTTTCTTTTTCCCCAATTTAGTGTATTCTTTCCAAATTTAACTGAGGTTGTTTTCAGATGGGGAATGTTATGGGATACTCTTTTAGGAAGCAAAATGGTTTTTTCTACAGTGTTTATGAGATAAATCAAATTCTGTAGAAAATTTGATTGTTCAACTAACATTGTGATTTTGGTAAGTAATTTAGTTCATGAGATAAAAATAAAGTTAGTTGCACTTTAATAGCCTAGAAATGCACCCATTTTTAACTTTCATACACTGAAGAGTAAAATTTGCCAAAATGAGACCCCAGAGTTTTTAAACTGCACTTAGTCTTGTTAACTTGACAAAAAGGGGTAAGTTAACAGTAAACCCCACTTTTTTCTGTTCTTCCCCCCTCCAAATTAGTGTCTTCTTCCCAAAAATTTCCAAAATGCCAAAGTATAATTCCTAAATTAGGTTGACATATGGGACAAAGTTTAGGTTTTTCCCCTGAAATATTGATAAATTTGATAAAATTTTCTTATTTTTAAGTTTCATTGAGTCCATCCATCCTAATGTATGTATTTGAAAAGACATCTTATCTTCCCTGCAAAACTTAAAAAACAACTCACTATCATGATAGTAGATGCAAAGTGGAGTGTGTTTTTCTCGTCAAATTTCACTGTTTTGTATTTGGAAAAGGTAAAGAAATGAATTTGGGTTTATGTTGTAGTGGATTCTATGTTAAATAGATGGCGGAGATAGAAAAGGAATCAGGGGAAATCCTTTAAAACTTAGGCGAAAATAAGTTCGGAAACTATCGTGTGATATCGCAAGATGACTTTTATGCAGGATCTTTAACGGTCATGTTATGGAAGGTACTCGTGTAAGTCGGTGAATCTTTGATGTATCATCCGGGCATAGTTAATCTTTAGGGTATCAAAGTTAAAAACATGTAAACCGTTAGGATATTAAAGTACGGTTAACCTTAAGAATGATTTTCAAGATGGAAGATCATTAGCATTAATTTTTTTGGGAATTGTTCTTGCACATAGATTAGATTAGTCTGCCTATGGTTATGTTACCGTGTTTTTTCCATTATATAAAAGTTAAAGCATATATTAGTTGTTTATAATTTACGTTTCATTGTTTTGAACTACCCAGTGTGTAATAAAGAATGCAACCTTCCATTGATAGGATAATAACCCATGTATCAATAACCCCATCATTCTTTTATGTTTCTTATGGTCCATTATTTCGTATATAAGGAGGATAATGTGTGGACCTTTAAACTCATTTGGGATCTGATTATTGTAAAGTATTGATTAGCCATTAATTGGTTTGATTGTGCTTCCTGTCATTGTTTGATTAAGGTTAGTGTTTCTTATTTTACTTCACTATTTACTTTATAAGTTTGTCCTAATAGTGTTTGATGAAACTCATGTGCTAGAAAATGGATCTTGGCCCTTGTTCGAAGGTGCACTCATTGCAGCTGCGGAAAGAGTATCCTTTTTGTTTTGATATCTTCTATTAGTGAAATTTATATTTGTAACTGAGGAGCAAAAAATGTTCTCCTATGTGAGTTTACTTTCAACTTGTGTGAGGTCTTGTAAATCATCATTTCTGAGTTCATTGAGAGTTAAAGTTAATTATATTGAAGTCTGAGATTGCGTATCTTTGCGGCCTTAGTCTAGTGGTATGATCTGATAAGAAAGGCCAGAATAGCTTCTTAGCATATATTTGCATGATTAGCAAGAACTTCAGGTGATGCCAAGTCTCTGGTGTATTACCATTTTTTGCTATGCTTGGTCATATACTTCTGGAAGTGCTGCCCTAAAAATTTTTTTCGTTCTTCTGTTTTCTTTCTTTCTTTCCATTCGAAGGTTATAGGTGCTAAATTGTTTATCAGCACATTTTGACCTTTAATGCATAAAATTTTCAGCTACCACAGTAGGGTCACAAGGCTACTTAAACTCTATCTTAAAGTAAACTCTAAAGTAAACTCTATCTTAAAGTAAACTCTATACTTGTTCTTCCTGAAATCTTCATAGATATGAAGAAGCCAAGGCAAAGGGTGGTCATAATTTTGACAGGGAACTTGAGGACTTAATAGAAAGACTTATTGTTGAGTGTGAGCGGAAAATTCAAAGAGCTCTTAAGCGTTTGCAAGACGACGATGCTAAGGCTGCCATAGCAATATCTGTGTCAGAGGTTACCCAGGTACTTGCTTTATTCTCTTAGAAGGGAAGTAATCTAAATTGATATCTTCAATTGAAAATTTCCTTTTGTAAATTGCAGTCACCTGAGATCATGGATCTTTCAGTACAAATAAAGGAGAAGCTAAAGGAAATTGATGACTTTGGTAATCTGTTTATCCTCTCGTTTGCTTTGAAACAGATGTTATTGTCTGTCTGCATATGTTACTTTTTTATTTTTGTTGGTCTTAAGAGCTTTTACATTAATTTTAGAGCTTATAACATCAAATACCTTGAGCTGCATTCATGGAATTACAGGAATTGCTAGTTTTAAGTTTTAAAGTGCAAGTTATTAATGCTGATAACTCAACCATGATGCGCACATGGAAATGTTAATGATACCAAAATGATTATTTTGTTCTGAACATGTATTTATATAGCTCTAGAATTTAGTGCTAAATATTTTCATAAACACACTCCATTGTCTTAATGATAAGACAGGATAGCTCCTCACACCTGTATCTCAAACTTTCATGATAGGAGCACATTTATGGGAACCAACTGAACATGTATTTAGACTGTCAAGGGTAGTTATGATAATCGAAATGTTAGCAGTAGCAGGCTTGAGGAAAGACGTCACATATGAACCAAAAAAAGGAAACAAGCTTTCTAGTTATTGGAGCTGATTAGGACATTAGGATTTGTTAATGAGTGGTGTTTCGGTAATTTATAGAATGCTTGAGGTTCTAGGGTTATGAGTTTTGGGAGTGTGCTTCCTATGAGCGCTTTGAAGGGTTTTTGTTCTGCAGTTTAGGATTGCAGATCTGGGAGAGAGACCTTAAAAAATTCTCTTCATAATGAATAAAAATTGTTCTAGTAAAGAATATTTAACTCTATTGTGAAGAGCAGCAACTGAGAAAAGTGAAAGAACAAAATAGGTGGAAAAGTCCTAAATATCTTTGCCTTATAGAGGTGAAAGAAAAAGCCATATTATCTGAGATGATATATTTTATTTATAAGGGTGCTGCATAGTGCACTGACACCTGCTTACTGGGGCAGACTCTTGTGGCCTTTTCTAGCTTGTGACCTTCCATCCATCTTCTGAGTTCTGAGCCCCTGATTAAATGCTGGGATCAAATGCAGGGATTGCAGACTGGAAATATGAATTGAAGAAGGTAGGGTGAACAAGTGAGAAATAGAAGTGGAAAAAAAACTAAAAGGGGAAGATTGAAAAGTAGTCTCTACCTGATGGTCACTTATGCTTGATAAATATTTGTTTGGACACATCTCGTTTATGATTTGAAATCAATATTTCATTTTCTTTTTTGGCAATCAGAATTCTCCTTCATCAACTGAAACAATGAAACTGAACTCTTTTAACTGATTTTCTACTTAATTACCTCAAGTTTCTAGTAAGGAGGCTTGCAACTTCAAATTACAGTATGATGAATATGCAAACTGAACAGTTTGTGATTTAAAATAGAACTAACCCATTAGCAAATAAACCTTCTCCTATATGAGCAAGGACGAAGAAACTATTGATTGCTTAAAGATGAATGGGATGACTAAAGAAGCAAACAGGATAAAGAAAATAGTAACATACTTTCTGATAGGTTGATCTATAACATCAACAGAAGGCAGGTAAAATGAAATCTAGAAGGATTCTTGCAGCTTACATCTTCTGTGGAGTACATATGAACTAGACTCTATCACCAAATAGGAGAAGCACAAAATTCAGGAAAAAAAGACACCCATTTATCTTAAATCATTTCCAAGTTATCCAACTGACCACAAAGCGAGGGAGGGTTAAAAAAATTTCTTTTCACATGAAAGCAAAATAAGAGAGATCAGTAGAACCAAATTTTCTTAGGCACTCAACACTTCTTCATCCACCTTAATTCATATCCTCTTAGATCTCAGCATAGCCCTCTTTGCTCTGTATCTATGATCCAATGTTGAAAATAGCGTTAACGCATAGCGTAACGTTTACCTCCGGTTAGGTTACAATAGCGATAACGTATAGCGTAACGTAGGTTAAATTATTAATTATTGTTTAAATAATTTATAGATATATAACATTCAAAATACTCAGATTTAAAAATTATTTTCACAAATACCCATAATTTAAGGGTATATGTGCAAATCAGCCAATAAACGAAAAAAAAACCCACAATCACCCTTATCCTCTTATCTAAAAATACACATAAGTTAAGGGTATATGTGCAAATCAGCCCATAAACGAACAAAAAAAAACCCACAGTCACCCTTATCCGCTAATCTAGAAACAAAGAGAGAAAGAGAGAGAGAAAGAGAGCCGATCTTATCCTCTTCTGCCCTCATCATCTCCTTCCCCCCTCCTCTCTCTCTCTACGAATCAACCCTCTCTCTCTCTCATCAGTCGTCGTCACGATGAGGACCTGAGACGAATACGAGGACGACGGCCTGAGACGAAGACGACGACGACGAGGACCTGAGATGAAGACGAGGACGACGACTTGAAACGAAGACGACGACGACGTGGATCTGAGACGAAGCCCGACGACGAAGCCCGACGACGAAGCCCTAATTTCAGCGACGACGAAGCCCTAAGTTCCGACGACGAAAGCCCAAATCCAAGCGGGCGACGAAGCCCAAAATCCAGGCGGGCGACGATGCCCAAAATCCAGGCGGGCGAAGAAGCGGAGGACCTGAGAAGAAGCGGACCGGAGAAGAAGCAGAGGACCTGAGACGAAGACGATGAATGAGGTTAGAATCTGGTTTAGCAAAATAACGTAGGTTAAGCAACGCTATGAATTAACGTCACGTAACGTACGCTACGAAGAATATGGCGTACGTTATTTGTTAACTGCGCTATTTCACAGCGCTATGTCGCGTTTTACCACCGCCACGTTACGCTAAACGCGATTTTACGCCTCTTAACGCGTTTTTTTCAACATTGCCCCAACATTGGGTTTTAAGTACCCCTCCCATCCCACAGTGTTAGTTTTTTTAACAGAGGAGTAAATAGACAAAAATATCATTAGTCTATCTTTCCATCTCCTTCCCTAGCCTTAGCTCCCCACTCCTGCTGACCCCCCTCCCCCTCCAGCCCGCGTTTTACCACCGCCACGTTACGCTAAACGCGATTTTACGCCTCTTAACGCGTTTTTTTCAACATTGCTATGATCTATAATCCTCTTACTCCGTGTACTCAAATATAGTCTCCATTGCGAATGTCGCAACCATATAAACCCAGTATTATTCTTTTCTTCTTCAGTCGGATCCACGTCAAACTTTTCGTGGGTGCATTCATTTCTTACTATATTTTTTCAACTCATTCAACCCGGTATTGTAACATTCTTATGTTTCCATCATGCCGATGGGTATGCTATTTTAAGTGTTCATCAATCTGATTCGTAAAGCATGACTAGGGGCATGTTTGACAACTCTGGATTATTATTCCCTTGGTTTAATCCACAAATGTATTAAAAGCTAAGTGGATTTTAAGCCAAAGTGTTTGGTAAATTTAGTGGATTATAATTCATATTCAAAAGTGGAGTGTTTGGCAAATGGATGGGTTATAAGCCTTCATTGTCGTCAAAATGACCAAATATTATTTAATGGGCTTAGAAAGAGATAAATTGGGATTTGGGACTTGGAATTTTGTGAAACAGTGAGGGTATGTTAGTATTTACTTGGTCAAACCTTGTGGCTTATAAGCCACCAAAAGATAAGCTAGGGTACCCTAGCTTATTTTTTGGTGGCTTATAATCCAAAATAATCCATTTACCAACCATGTCAAAGTGCCTTATAAGCCACTTTGATCACTTGCCAAACATGCTCTAGGTCTAGTCATCTCATAAGAATTTTGATCAACTTTTTAGCTGCGCGTTAACAAGCTCAATTTGTATCTTGTCATAGTTATGTTGATTATGTAGTATTTTATGTTCATCATCATGAACTAAACTTGTTTAGCTAAGGATTTGTATCCTGTAATCTGCTATTATCCTTCTGACTCAGAAATCCATTAGATTACCAATATTGTCTTCATATTTCAGTTTCTAAGTCCTAACTTTTTTAGTTTCATCAGCTAATATAATTATACAACATCATCACCCAATTACATGCTCCATTATTTTGTGCACGCTAAGTAGCACTATCACATTATGTATGTCCTTAAGCATAATGATCCTTATCCAGTTTAGTATGGTAAACTACTGACAGAAGATTCTTCTTGTGATATTACTGTGCTAATAAAAGTAATGAGATGTCTAAGTCATATTTTTATTTTTCAGATTTGGAAGGGAAAACTGACAGTAAAATACGGGCCATCGAAGTACTTGAAGAGTTGAGAGCAAAACGAGCTGATAAACAGGTATTATTATGCAATGCAAGTGCATGAGCTCTATATGTTTCCAGCGTGTTTTAATAAAAATTTGTTATTGTCAGTGACCTTATAGAGTTTGATGAGAAGCTTCATGGTGGTACTTTTATATCACAGCAGACTGATGTTTCATATTGGTTCCTTTTGCAGTCTATGCTTCTTCTTGATGCATTCAACAAGGACCGGGCGGCTTTACCACAGCCACTCCAGAATCCTACACAGGTCGCACCAATACCTACACTTCCCCCAGACCCTCGGACACAGGAAATGATTAATGAAAAGCTGAGGAAAGCAGAAGATCTTGGTACGACTGCTATACTCACCTTGGAGAAGATTATGATCATTGCCCATATAGTCCATAGTTATTATTCGACACAAATGTAAAGGACTTTTATATATTTCTGAACATAACAATTATCAATCTCTGATTATAATCTTACTTTTTCTTTTTCTCTTCTATTTCTTCATGTATCCAACGTAATAAATATCCACCGATATATCGCTATATCGGCCGATAAATCGCAATATCGTCCGATATATCGGTTTTGATGCCCTTCCCATACGATATTTATGAAAAAATATTGGTTTCACATTCTACTACTTTTTTTGATATATCGGAAATATCGGCCGATATTTTATTGAGGAAATATCGGCCAATATTGGCTAATATCCAAATAAAAGGGTCATTGAGTTTGGGCTTGTTTTTGGTTCCCACTAGATCCGAAAAGTTAATAAAATCCCAAAACCAAATACCCTAAATCCCTAGTTAATCTCATATTTTTTCCACCCTTTTCGTTCGGCACTCTGGCTCAAAAACACTAGGCGATCTCAGGTACGAATCTCTCTCCACTCTCTCTTTCTTATCCAGTTCTCCTCTTTCAGCTCTCTCTTAACTCCTCAGGCCCCTCTGTCTCTCTTCATCTCTCTGCTCTCAACTTCTCTCTTCCGTTTCTCTTTGTCTTCCTCTCTCTCCTCTGTTCATGTCCTCTCTCCCTCTCTCTGACCTCTACCCGTGTCTAATGTTTCTAAACGTCATATATCATTATTCATGATGCAATTTTTTATGTTTAGAATACATTAAATATGTTTTGATTACATATTACAATGTTATGTTACATATGAACATCATCCGATATGACACCCTGATATTTTTTTACATATCCCCGGTTTTCCGCAATCTGATATGGATTTTGGCCATCTGATATTTCTGGTATTTTTGATATTTAATACATTGCATATATCTCTCGTTAATTGATAAACGAAGTTTTTGTTTGACATTTTTCTGCATCTTTGCCTTTTTTCAGTTGATGAAATTATGATCACTTCTGTTTTAATTATATTTCTGTGACTCTGTTATACAGTAATTGTGCTTAAATAGTGGGGAGCAAAGCCCTTAGAATATCTAAACATAATCTAATGATAAGTTAGCTGATTGCTTAGTGGGAAATCACCTTGAATAAACATTGTTGATTCCAGTTATCCAAATTCCCACATTTGGATGTATCTTGTTGGTATTTGTGTGTTTTTTGGTCTGTTGCCTGACTAAAATTAGCTACTCTTATGCCTTTGTTAAGAACAAGGACTTTCTGGCTTCACATTTTAATAGTTTGAGTGGTGACTTTGAGTCTGATAAGTGACTGGCATTACTGTAGATGTGACACATTAAATACACTAAAGTTTTCCTCAGTGAAATAGAAGATGAATTAAGTAACATTCTTTGGAATGTGTAGGTGAGAAAGGAATGATAGACGAGGCGCAGAAGGCCTTGGAAGAGGCGGAAGCTTTGAGAAAGGTGTAGTATCCTCCTTCAGATGCTTTGTATCCATGCATTTTAATATTAAGTAATTTCTTGGCATCTATTTGTATCTTGTCTATTTATGTTATTTGCTTGTTTTCTATATGGACCTTGTCTCCAAGTCATTCTTCATGGGTATCTCCAACATCTAAAGCTACTCATGCTTGCTTGCTATCTTTGTTTCTTCCCTCAGCTAGGTCCAAGACAGGAGCCAGTCCCGGACTCTTCGAACTCAAAGTATACTGCTGTTGATGTCAGAATTGTAAGATCTTGGACTTAGTCATCCTTTTTTATAGCTCCTTCCAATACTTTGGGGAAAAAAAATCTTTTTCTACTATTTTATTTATTATATCCTATTTACATATTTATATAACAAGTATTTGAGTTCTGAATGTTTGAAAGAAGCCTACTGGTACCATGTAGAGTGTAAGTTTCGACAAGATTTGATTTGATCATAGCATATCGGATTTTGAGCATGCTGGTACAATCCAGCAGAAACTAGCCAATACCCTGATATTAGCTAACAATGACTAACATAGACCGAGATTGGTTATAACATCTAACATACAAGGAGTTTTATTGATGGTACCAAAAGTTGGTATGGTAGTGTTATATTATGAGAAAATAACAAGAATGATGAATACTAAACTAAATGGTTTAATGTACTGATCCATTGTACCAAAAACTCTTCAGTAATTTTCATATGAATGATAATTTCAAAATATGTTTAATAATATATTTGCAGTAACTTTCATCATACTAATTGATATTTATCATTAAAGATAAATAGATCACAATGCCATGTTCTTTTAACGTTTTCTTTCATAAGAGAACAATAACATGTCTAATCCAACATTTATTCTACAAAATAACATTATAACATATAATTTATACATTACTTTTATATGAAAATTTAAAATAACTAACTAGTATTAATCCCCTCCGATGGACGGATTAGTGCTCTTTGTTAATGCACATTATGTACCCCCATGTGCTCTTTCTTAAATACATACACTCGCTTTGCTATTTTTTATTAAAAATATCTTTAATTGTACTCACACATAAATATATATGGTAAGACAACATATCAACGAACAACTATCTGATCCTAAAGACATAACAAATAACTGAGGTTAACTAAAAAATAACCTCAAAAAGTCATTACAAAAGTACATTTGAAAATTAACTTCTCTTAATATAACACATAAATGAAACAAATGTCTACTCTTTGAACCCAAGGGCAACAAAAAATATCAAAAAACTTCAATAAGATTGAAATGTGAGTCCACCCCACTCAACGCAATTGAAAGCAAATGGTGTTGACAATCATTATCCTATCCATGGATCAGGAAATTGATCAGGCTCACCCATTGGGTTTGTCACTTCATGTATCATCCTCATCACGTTATCCATGGATCATTAGGCTCTCCCATTGGATTTATCACTTCATGTATCATCCTGTCGTTCTTCACCTTCTTTGTACAATATCCGTATTTCTTTTTCTTTCCCAAACATAGATCTCATGAAAGTGAAAATAATAATAAAAGATCAGAAAGAGGAAAAAAATCAAAGCAAAGATGTTGAAAACTATATCAATAGTAGGCAACCTTTAGAATAAATTATGTCTAGATAAGATCAATAAATTTAAATAAAAAGAAATCTCTTTGTCCCAAGATGAATCTGCTAATGCTACTGTAAGATCTTAAGTAATCTTAGGACTTAGATTTAACAAAATACTTGCACATACATGAATATTCTTTCTTGAATTTAATAGATAGGAGATTTGCTAAGAAGCATCAACAATGAGGAAATAAGCATTTGTGTAAAACTTTTCAAGCAAGCAATCAAAATAAAAGGAAACAAAGAGGAAATAAATAAATGTGTGAAATTTTCAATTTCCAAATATAATATATTTCTTTCATTTTTCTTATTCTTTAACCACTTAATAACAACTTCCATACTATTTTGAGATACAATATAACCACCTCTCTAAGAACCTAAGTTGCATGGAAACGGGTACGGTTACGGGTGCGGGTACGGGACACGGCAAAACTGTAAAATGTAGGGTACGGGGACACAACTACATATATATATTGAATTAATATTGTACATAAGATAAATTTTTCCCCTTCATGTGTCATTAGAATTAAAATTCCGATCACATTTTTGAGTTTCTTTTATCATATTGATTATCGTAAATTGTAAACTACTCATTTTTTTACTAGACATCTAAACGACCCATTAACTATATGGTTTTAAACTTGGGTATGGACTGAAACGAACCCGACCCATATCTCATTAGTTTTAAAAGACGGATGTGAAGTGTAAGCTCTATGTTCAGGAAGTCTTTGACAAGTGTTTTAAATTAACACATATATCGTATAATTGAGTACATGTTGTAATAAATGCATGCATATATTCAAGAAATGTCCATGAAGTTTGGGTACAGGGAAGTGTTGGGTACGTGCCCGATACGTGTACGGCTTCATTATAGAAGTACCCAGGTAACATAGCTAAGAACTAAATATGAAGATAAATCATTCAAATAGATATTAAATATAAACTTACAATTTGCAAAAAGAATTCATCAAAAGAATTCATGCAATTTAATTGATATTTGACCACACCAAAAAGAATTCACAAAACTAACAGCAGATTGTAAGCTTGGTAAAATCATAGAAAACCCAATAACAAACTATGAAATTGGAGATTTTTCTCACCTAAGAATCATGAAACTAGTCAGCTACAGGGACCTGGGTCCAATGAGAGTATATCACGCTCGAAGATCTCGATCGATTGCAAGTTCTACAAAGAATTAATAAGAAAGGGGATTAGACTCGGCTACGGGGACCTGAATCTAAATTATTTTCAAACTCTACTTCTAATTGAAAGAAAATCGAGCATCAAATTCTAAGTTCTTCTTGCAAATCTAAACTTCTTATCTAGACTCCAAAATCACCTAGAAGTTTACTATATAGAACTACACAGACAATCTAAACCCCTCAAATCCCTTAAAATCTCTATTTCCCCATACAAATCAACAAAAATTTGTCAAAAACCATATAACATGGCTTAAATTTTATCATTCTGTCATCTTTGTCTTGCAAGGAAAGATGCCTTGCTGTGGAAAATGCAAGCTACAAAGTACAATTTTGGTAGTTACAATGATAATAATATAACATATAAAGGTAATAATAACACTCACCTTAGAAAGGTAATAATAAAACTTCAACGGGTATGTTTTATTCTATTCATGAAAGTAGGAATGCTCCATAGCTTTTTTCTAGAGAATCTCTATGCAAGTTCGTACTGAAGTATTTTCTATAGGCTGAAAATTCAAAGTAAATATGAATTTGGGTATTAGTGGTTTTTCTAATTAGCAATGAGACAACAAATATGCATTACACAAAAGTTTCTTGTGTATGTGCTAATTACTGTGCCGTCGATAGAAAAAATGAAAGACAATATTTTCAAGGAATTAGTAATTCAAATTATTTCAGGAACAGTGTGTTCCGCTTGAATAATTTCATAGAGATCATACTAAATATTGCAAATATATCGTCGACACCTAATTACTGCAAGATAACAAATATAGGAGATACATACCACGCGACGTACCCAAAACTCCATATATAAGAGAGGCTTCAGCTGAATTTTCATACCTACAGTTATCTAAAATCATGTATTGTTTGATAGTCTATCCAAGAGAAACATAGAGAGGGCAGAGAATGTTATTACCTACACAAATTTTCCCGTAATAGATGATGTTTCTCACTTGAAAATTAATGAAGAATCAATTTTCTCTATTTCCTCAAAGATTGTAGATAATAAATACCTTTACAAGCACAATAACAATTGCATATGCGTACAGAAAATATATATCAATATTCTTATAGAAGCATGAAAAGGAATGTAGGATTTTGATAATATTAGCAGGATAATCAACCAAAGAAAAAGAAATAAACTGCAAAAAGTAGCAAAAAGAGGAAAAACCTGAACTATGCTGCGGATATGCAAAATGTTGTGTTACTTTGGCCAAAGTGAAGCTTCCACGTCTCTAGGTTATCTGGGAGTATGTCTTATTTCTTCATTTCTGTTACGCCGGTCCTTCAAACATGCATTCAAGAATAAAAAATGTGCAGATATAGACATTTTTCATCTCATAAACATTAGACTTGAACATAACAATCAGAAATATGTAAAATGCTTATAGGCCAAAGTCAAGCTAATTGTCAGCTACATTAGAGATTTCATGCACAGGAGTTTAAACAGTGTCCAAGAATAGCTTTTTTAAAACATGTGTAAATAAGTATCATACCCTGGATATATGTATTTCAAATATTTGAGAGGAGATTTTAGCAGCTTCCGATTTTATTTGCTTGCTAATCTTTTTGCCAAGTAATTCCCCACGGAATGTGATTTCCTTGCTCAATTAGTGACTTGTTCAAATTACCTGAGTGTAAAAAAAACATGCATTCAAGAATTACAAATATGCAGATATAGACATTTTCCATCTCATAAGCATAAGACTTGAACATAAGAATTAGAAATAAGTAAAATACTTATAGGTCAAAGTCAAACTAAGAGTTAGCTACATTAATGATTCTATACATCAGGAGTTTAAACAGTATCCAAGAATAGCTTTTATTTGATGTAGGTGTAAATATATATCAGACTCTGGATATGCATTTTAAATATTTGAGCGGAGATATTAGCAGTTTTCAATTATTTGTTTGCTTGCTAATCTTTTCACCAAATAATTCCCCACAAAATGTGAATTCCTCTCTCTGTTAGTGACTTGTTCAAATTACCCTAGCATATAAAAACATTTTTTGTTTTGATCCGTAACACCACACCAAAAAAAACCTCAGTAACTTGTATAGGACATTTCACAATTTTAGATTTGTAGCCACAATAAAATACTTTTAAAAGTACAGTTTGGTGTAAGTATGATTTTTTTGCATCCTAATTGGCCTTTCATGACTGGAAATGACAAAAACTACTAATAATCATGATACGAACCATGGCTTAATCAATTGCCTATTTCTCAAGTTAGGATCTAAGTGATGGTTGACATTTTAAAAGTTTTGTAATTGATCCTAAAGCCTTGCTTTCTTAAGAATCTGAACATATATTAGCTAACCATAATTTGATATCAAAATAATGTTGATAATGACTGATAGTTCAAACAATCTATTGAATCTTTTAGTTCTCTGATTCCTCTTCACCTTTCTGATCTACAAAATCCTCCTAAAGAATCAT